GGAGGCTGGGCTGCGTGGGCAGGGGCTGCAGGGGCAGAGGGGTGCACGCTGCGACTATGGTAGCAGAATGAAACGGGGTGCTCGTGTTTCCTGTGTGCCTCTGGGCTGGTAGGGAGCTCTCTGCAAAAGAGAAATTGTTTTGCGGGCTAAATCTTTTAAATATTCCATGCCTGTAGTTTTCTGAGATGTCGCTCTGAGTTGTGTTAGCCTCCTCCTGCGAGAGGCTAAGAGATGAGCGCCCAGACCACAAACTTCCTGGTGTTTGGAGGCTCAGAGCAGACCTAGGCTGCAGCAGCAGCAGCCTGTCTTCCGCTGTCTTCTTTACAAGATGCTTTTCTAAAAGGCCTGTGTGATGTGGGAGACCATGGCCTGGCAACACTCACTCCTGCATCACACAGGCACTCCTTGAACTCCAGGTTCCGTGTGAATTTAAGATTTGCTGGTTATTTCCTGTATTTTCAGAGCAAGTAAAATGCTCCTGTGCCAGGCTATATCTTGCAGTGCCCTGCTGGACAGGCTGCAAGGGTTGGAAATGGTTCCCAGCCCCAGCTTCCACCTAGAGGACAGCCTGTCCGTGGGACGTCATCCTTCTTGGTCTGGCAGCCTGGTCACCAGGGTCTTCCCTGGTGAGAAAAGACCTTCACATATACAATTTAAGGGACATCTGAAGAAAGGAACACTCTCGTGGTCAGAAGTTCCACTGTCAGTCTCTGCAGGAGCAGAGGGCTTGTGGTGACCAGCCTGCAAACACACTCATACTGTTGGTGTACGTACCAGAAAGGAGAGGTGGCCGTGCCCGTCTCCTGGGCTGTCAGTCACTCTCCATCCCCCACAGTCCTGGTCTGGCATCGCCCAGTCTAGCACAGCTTTTGCATTCTGAATATCCACAGCCCGAGAGGTGTTTTGGTTTGCCTTTGCCGTGGCAGCGGAGCTGGGTGCAGCTGCATTAGATGTAAACATTGCGTTAGCTGGCCAGTGAGGAACAGGCAGGATGAGAACGGAGAGGTGGATGTGCTGTCTTCTAGGTGCATTTCTGCAAGAGGCAAATGTTGGGAGAAGAATAAATGAGTAGTACATAAAGCAGTGTCCTGCCGCATGAGCCCTGGGCTCTGTCATGTATCCTTTAGTGAGGACAACCAAAGGTCTGGGTCCTTGGGCCAAGTGCTGCTGCCTGCAGTAGGGCTTCAGTCCATGTGAACGTGCTAGAACCAGGACTGCTGGGTGTTTCCTAGCATGCCCCAACTATATGTCTTTAGACTTTGCCAGCTTTTTGCTTTGGAGTCTTTTTGGACTATAAAAATGAATGGACTCCAGTACAAAACGAACACAGAGCTTTGTAAGCTGCTGAGTTTTTCAGACACTATGTCCCACTGTGCTGGGCTTTACAGAGCAACTCCTCAAACTTTACACTTGCTTTAGCAACATCACCACCTCCGTTAGGAGCTAAGGGTATAATCCCCATAATCCTGTCATGCGTGCACCTGGTGGTTGCTGTAAGCACTCACCCAGCATCGGGCTATTTTCCTTACGGTTGCTCAGCTCACCTGTGTGATTTCGTAGGGTGCTGAAGATGGCAGGCAGCTCCTCTCCTTGGATCGGCAGCGCTTATCTCTTCCTCCAGTCGACGTGCAAGGCCATCGCTCTGCCATCTCTCTATGAAAGCTCCCAGAAGAAACCTAGTGTGTTCAAGGCACTGAAGCTGGCGTTAGCAGGTACCCATCCTCCGTGATATGTTGGCGTGCCGTCCCGTCTCTTCATATGATGCCGTGCCTTTCTCTAATCTCACACTTGTGGGTAAGAAGAGCTGGTCCTCACTGTACTTAGGAGAGACAATAAAATAAAGCAAGTTCAGGAGAAGTCCACCAAAACAGGTGGGAGCTGGCACACTTCTGTGAGGAGAGGCTGAAGGCGTTGGATCTGTTCAGCCTGGGGAAAAGAAGGCTTTGGGGGACCTGCCCATGGCCTGCCAGTACCTATGGGGAGGAGGGAGATGGAGCCACACGTTTCACAGTGGTGCACGGGGAATGAGAGGCAAAGGCACAAATTGGAACAAGAAAGGTAGACACCAGGTATAAGGACAAACATTTTCCCCATGAGGACAGACCAGCAGTTGCCCAGAGCAACTGTGTATTATTCATCCTGGGGAGTTTTAAAAATGGGACTGGATAAAGCCCTGAGGAACTTGGTGTGACCTTTGTGCTTTGCATGGGAGGTTGGGCTAGAGACTTCCTGGGCTTCCTTCCATCTTGAACTGTCCTATGAGTTATCCTACTTTATGAATGTTTATTTAAAAACCTATTTATGTACAAGGGGAAAAGATTGCAACTGCAGTGAAAGAGGATTGAATTTCTGTCTTTATACCACCACAGAAACATGATTTGTGCTTTGAGAAGTGGGTTTTTAAAATTAGCTATAGCCAGTCTAAGTTCCTTTCTGATATAAACAGGCACAATTACGTTAGCTTCAAGTGTATGTAACCCCGTTTACATCAAAAAAGGACTTGAGATGCAAATGGACATAAATCTATGTTTCTGTATCCACCCTTGCACCAAGCTGACCGCAGAATGAAACTAATTTGAAGAGTTTACCATATTTACCTAGGATGACTCTCACAGTGTTCTTTACCTGTCATACTGCTGAGCCCATATTGTTTAACTGGGCTTGAGTAATTATTCTGCAATTTCTTCCGGCGATCATATGTCTAACCAAGTCAGCTGGCTTATCCAATACAGGCCTCCTCAGCCTGTAGCTCAGTGCAGTGATGTGAAGGAGCAGGAAGTCTGACACAGTTGTCCACTTAGGCTCGATTTGTGGTTGCATTGTGTCACCGGAACATGAGTCTGCTCACAGATTTAAAGGAAAGCCCACAAAAATGCTAAATCCTACTAAGCTGGCTGAAGTGTCATGAATTCCAAAGTCCTTCCTTTCAAAGTGGCTCTCCAGCTGTCTTGTACACCGTTCATAAAGTTCTCCGTGTCTGTGCAGCTTTTCCTGCCCCAGCCCTCTTGCCCTGTCACAGAAGCTTTTGTTTAACCAGCACTCACCAAAAGAAAAATCACTAAGGAAGCAATGAAAAGACACTTCTGGTCAGCCACAGTGAATTAAAATGACTCTCCTAGGTGCCTGCCCCCACGTCCCAGTTAGACATCTGGTCCAAACTAAACTTTCTGATGCAACCAGAACTCAGTTAAACCCTGTGAAGCCACTGTTAGATCACATATTTTTAAATGCCAGGTCACTTGTCCTGCCTAATGTGGAGCATGCAAGTTTGCTTTGCCTTGGGATTCTCCTCCAAGCATGTCTAAATAATGCCGCGACGTGTGGTTTAGAAATAGCTGATGTAGTGCCAGTCTCAGCTGGCACCTCCACACAGCCCTGAGCAGCAGCAGGCCAAGAGGTTAATTTGGGTCTGGAAGCAGTACAGCAGCCTCCCACGGGCCTCTGCTGAAATAAAGAAGAGAAAAACACATACTTCAAACTGTCATCGTCAGTGTATAAAATCCCTGTGGACACAAGGTCAATGTGCACAGCTCAACGAAATTAAATTTTGCTGGGAGAAGGAAGAATAAAGGCCTGGACAATTTCTGTTGTCCACGTCGTTTGTGCTCCCCCGCATTTATGTCTAACAGGGTTCATCCCTGGGTTCTCCTTGTTTAGATTTTACCATGAATTAGTTCTTTATGTAAAAGAACAAGTCAAGGCCCTTCCTCAAGCAGTCTAATTCCCCATCATTTGCCATTTGTGAGATGCGTGAAAGGCTCAGAGCCAGCTAAAAGTAACTTGTAGGCATGGGGTAGAGGGGAAATGCTGGATCTCTTTCCAGGACCTTCATCACTGCGTAAAACTGCAGTCACAAGGACTGAAGACTGACCGAGCCCTGAGCTCAACTACATGCTTTCATTTATAAAACTTCCCTGTGCTACCAGTTTAGCGCAACCATTTCTGTCATGGAATCATCAAATGCCTTAGGTTGGCAGGGACCTTAGAGATCATCTAATCCAACCCCCTGCTGTGGGCAGAGAAGCCCTTATCTAGTCCAGGTTGCTCACGGCCTCATCCAGCCTGGCCTTGAACACCTCCAGGGAGGTGGGCAACATCTCTGGGCAATTTATTCCAGAGTCTTGCCACCCTTGGACCGAAGAATTTCTTCCTAAGATCCAATCTAAACCTACTCTCCTTTGGTTTAAATCCATTTCCACTTGTCCTGTTGCTGGACACTCTTGTAAAAAGTCCCTCTCCAGCCTCCCTGTAGGTTCTCTTCAGGCAGTGAAAAGGTCCTTCTGGAGCCTTCTCTTTTCCAGGCTGAACAACCCCAGCTCCCCCAGCCTGTCCTCGTAGCAGAGCTGCTCCAGCTCCTGGATCCTCTTTGTGGCCTCCTCTGAACTCATTCCAACAGATCTATGTCCCTCTTATGGTGAGGACCACAGAACTGGATGGAGTATTTGAGGTGGGGTCTCACAAGAGCAGTGTAAAGGGGGAGAATCCACTCTCTTGTCCTGGAAATGGAACCTCAAACATAAGACCTCCCCTAATAAACAGCATTGGGATAATTACCTGGCGCGTGGTGCCACACAGCTTTGTTTGGACACCATACTTCATGGGGATTGATGGTGGTAGGGCAGAAAAAACTTAATCCTTTCCTCTTGGTTTTACATACAGGTTTTTCGTCCCAGAGAACTTTATCACAGAGAGAAGAGAATTCAAAAGCTACTCCATTGCAGGCTTGGTGGTGGATGGGAATGGGTCTGGGTTGTCTGTCTCATGCCTGGATAGTGACTCTGCTCACTTCTCCCTGCCAGACTCCACCGGCAGCATGAATGGTGTGGACATGCTCAAAGTGCACTGCAGCTCCCCACACCTGATAGTCCAGCTCAAGTTCTGCAAGCAGGAGAACTGCCGCCGGTTCCTGCAGAGTTACCGGGAAGGAGCGCTCCAGGAGTCCCTCCAGAATCACCTCCAGATCTCCTTGGCCATGACCAAGGTACCTCTTGAAATGGAGCTGAAGGCTGGCAGCGAGCACCTCGACGACATGCTGAAGGATGAGGATCGCTGCCTGGAGTGCATCTACAGAGAAAAGGTGACTGGGAGAGGGAGGGAGGCCAGGCAGCAGTGAGGAGCAGTAGGACAGGACTCGGGAAGGTGGGTGCAAATCTTGCGCTGCTGGGTTGTTGACTTCTCCGTCCTTCAGTTCTCAGCCGTAATATGGAAAAACAGCTCTGCCCTTCCCCAGAAGAGAGCTGTGCGCTTTCGTGGATGCACAATAGTTACCTAAAACAGCCTGCAGAGATTCTGCTAAGTCACTGTTTTTTCTGTGTGTAACCATTAGTGTGGCTGTTAAAACCACTAAGATAAGGTTACTACAGAAGGTGCAGTTGAGAGCAGAAGCCAGTGTGCCTTGTACACCTGCGAGGCAGGCAGACAGGGCACCAGCACTGTGTGGAACGATCACTGCTCAGCACCTCCCTCCCCTGCCTCGCACACTGCCTCCTCCGAGAGTACGAGCAGTAACTGCACCTAGAAACGAGCGTGAGTGCAAACACGGCACATGATACCAAACTTGTGACAGAGTGGGGACACAGAGCATCTGCTGCCAGCAGGAACAGTCTGCCCTTCTGCAGGCAAAGCCTCTCTCCCAGGGGCTATGTCTAACGTCTAGCTCATCACACATTTTGGTACTGGCACTCTAATCCTGCTAGAGAGAACAGTGAGATCTTGCCACCTCACCCCAGAAGCAAGGCACCTGACATGATTAAACTCATTGCCTTTCTCCTGCTCTTTTTTTTCCACCTGGAACTAGTAATACCTTATAGCTCTGGTTCCCTCTAGATGGTCCTGAGAAATAAGTAATCACCAGCTACTCGGGAAGATTAGGCATGTTTTGCCAGGCTGCTTTTCTGCAAACGCAGAGAATGAAATACAAACCTTTCAGCCCTTGCCCAAACAACATGTGATATCCCCATACCCTGTCAACTTCTGCTTGCTGCTCCCTCCCTCTGCTGAACTAGCTGACTGGACAAAAGAGATGGCCTTATTCTCAGTTCCCCAAAACTGACTCAGCCTGACTTCTGCAAGAGTCAGAAAGACAAGCTGGGACACAGCTGTCAGTGGCTGAGGGCAGTGCTGGAACCTGCTGTATGTGAGCTAAACACTAGACTGATCAGAGCACTCGCCAGGTTTGACTCTTCCCATGTGCTTTGCCTTCTTGACTCTTTTTCCCATTACCTGGTTTTTGGAGGTCAGACTAGTTTTCTCTCAGTTAGTAAGGAAAACTGGCTTGGAGAGGATCCAGGAACAGCAAAACTAGGTAATGGAGGGGCAAAGAGAAAGAAGGGGGGCAGCAGGAGCTGCCTGCTTTGGTGGCCATGAGCTGTTGGATCAGGTCACCCTATTTTGTGGGTCTGACCCTCATGTAGAATAAGTCAGAGAAGCCACGCTGCCTATGGTGAAGCCTAATTCTTGCAGAGGGCTCCTGAAAGTAAACACGGACCAGTAGCAGTTTCATGCAACCAGTAATCACTTGCTGCTGCCTCTGAGAAAGCCAGGAGGGGAAGACTGCCAATTTTATATCACACTACAGATTCAAACCCACACATTTACAGCCAGAACTCCGCCAGACTATCTCATCAGTTTACAGCTCAGGCCATAGCTATCTCATTGCCTCTCTCAACACCATCATCTTGAGCTGCACCTTGCAGCTGAGCTTCTGCAGCTCTGTGAGGTGGTGAACCTGGCACAAATCTGCTGTTTGCATTACAGCCTGACCGCCTGCGGGATGAGGAGATCACCGAGCTGGAGGAATGCCTCAAGAGCCTGGTTGTTAACCAGAGCATCAACAACAATAAGGCTGTAAAAGACTGCACGTCTCCGAACTCCCCATCTCTTCCTTGTCCTTCTCAAAGCAGCTGCCTTTCCCCGCAAGTCACCTTCATCTTTCAGGGACAAGAGTTTGGTGAGTAGCTAGAACTGACCAAGAGAGCCCTTGGTCTTCTCGCCTCAGAACCCAAGAGGGAGGATTAACGTGACTGCATGTTCGGGTCTACGTCAGATAAATCACGGATTTCCCAAAATCCCGTAAGGAAGGAATTAGATATTGCCACACTGCTTCAGATCACGCCTCAGCCTGTTTCCTGGAATGCAACAGAACCAGAGTCTGTGTCCCTTCCAGGCTCTTCAGGTTTTAAAATTCTAAGGAATTAAGATACTAAAAGTATTAAGATACTAAAAGGAAGAGTACAGAATAGTTTTCCTCCGTGTCATTTGGTTGAGTTAATAGCACGGGTTGGATCAGACTGGGAAGGTTATGACAGACACATCAGCCCTGCCTGTGGTCAGAACTGATTTGTTCAGGCTCCCTGCATTACACCCACTGCCTTTGGGGTCTGTTCCCTACAGAAAGCTTTCAGACACTCTCACATAGCAATTTTAGCTTGAGATCAGCTAGATCATTTCTGAGCGTGCTTAAAGCTCTTTATATATAAACAGCCAAGGAGAGAGCTTCTGTCTGTATCTCAGTATTTTGAGGATGCTTAGGTGGGGAACAGGGGACTTGGTCAGAAGGGACTTGACTAGTTGCTTTTGAAAGGCCAAAACAAATGAAGAGGAGACTTCAGCTCATTTTCCCTTCCAGTGGTGCAGAAATGTGGTTGGGGCGCACAGACCCCTCTGTGTGTGACCCCGTGCCCGTGGCAGGGCAGTCCCTTTAGCTTCCCTGCTCTGCTCCAAGCTCATGGTGCTGCCCTGATGTGAAAACACCAGAGGACAAACAGAGCAGCTCCACAGCAGTTTAAAAACGTGCTGTGGACACGGAACAGGCTCCCTGCCCCACAGAATACCGAACAAAACTTGGACTGGCCCGTGAAACCCCTGTGTTTTAACTGGCCTCTGTGCTTTTCAGCCAACAGAACGCTCACACCAGATGACCACCAGAAATTTGCCAAGCTTGTGTCCAAGAAATGGAAGCAAGTGGCTCGCTCTTTGCAGAAGACCTGCCGGGCCTTGCGGGATCCTGTCATTGATAACCTGGCCCTCGAATATGACCGAGAGGGACTATATGAACAAGCCTATCAGATGCTCCTCAGGTTTATCCAGTCAGAGGGCAAGAAGGCCACAATAGCACGGCTCATCCCAGCCCTGGAAGAAAATGGCCTTGTCAGCTTGGCTGAGGAGCTGCTGGGCCTCCATTCGAACGAGGACTGCTCCTAGAGCCCAAAGGGTAGTGACGTTGCTAAGAGCTTTCTTGCTTTAGCTAGTGTACGAGACTGCTGCCAGTGTCTGGGAATGTAAAGTCCTGAAAATGTCCCCGGAATGGCCGGGGGAGATTTTCTGTGCTCATGGAAGCCAGCACAGACCTCTGACGTCCTTTACTTTGTTCTGTTTCCAGAAGTCAATGTTACTTTCCTGTGAACTGTAAGAAGGAGGCTTTCAGCCTGGCTTCCTCCTTCATGTCACAGGCAAACAGCCAGAGAGCCCTAGGGGAGGGTGGGGGAGAGGAGGAAAGCAAGGAAGGCATCTCAGAATTTCTCTGGGAAGCAGATAAAGCGGACGATACCACTGTTTCTTAGGCTGCAGCCCAGGGCTGTCACCTGGAGAGCTGCAATATTTTTATAATACTGAAGACATTTATGCACTTTGACATCACATGAATCAAAGTCAGAGGGGAAATTTCTAAGGAAAAGTCAATTTTATATTCTTTTTCCTCTTCGTCAAATGAGGAGTATCTGTGGCAAGTGCATCTGTCCTGTCCTGCTCTACTCCAGCTCCTTCCCACCACCTAAAGGTTTCCCTTTTACTTGGGACAGTCATAATCTTCCACAGGGCACAAGGCTGCTGTGGTAGAACAAATCTCAGGCACTGAACAAGCAATATGGACAAACAGAAATTCAGAGAATGACTCCCAAGTTTTTCTGGATCACAGATATATTGACTACATCACACTTAACTCTTTCCCACTAACCTGAGGGAGCCTGCAGCTGTGAAACGGAAAACACTGGGCTGGAAGGGAAGCAGTCTCCTAGTCGGCAGATTACCTGTGGAGATGCTGCTCCAAAGCACAGTGCAGCCTCAGATACCATCCTGACCCCACAGAGCTGGGCAATCACCTCTGCCCAGCTGGTTGCTCAGGCCTTTGCTCACTTCTTAACCACTTACCCTCGGCCTGCAGAGTTCACCAGAGAGGACAGCTCACACTGTCGTGTCTCACCAGAGCTGGGCTTTCCCTAGTGGTGTTGTCACCGTGTGACAATTGTGGGATCAGCTGCTGCACCTGGATTTATCTGCCCTGATTTTGAGGGTAAAAATGGCTTAAAAGACCTGGACCCCCGGGCTGAGTTGTGTGTTCAGTTCTGGTGGGAGAAGCGGACTGTTTCCTGGTATGGTTTGATGCAGGCTGCAGCTGAGCAGAGTTTACACCTCTGCCTAACATGACGTGGGTCTTGCAAAGCACAACAGCAGCTTGATTACCTCTGACATATTCCCAGTGCTTTCCTGATATGTTTTCACTTATCCTTTTCCATTATATACTATGCTTCTTTGCCCTGCTGTGGGAATAGCCAGCAGGGCTTTGAAACTATTTCAAATGCAGAGGGTGGCTCTGCCAGCACACACAAGGCTTGCTTGCGTGTGTGCACGCAAATATTGGGCTGCTGGCTGTTATGGTAGGACCAGCTTTGAGACAGGCAAGCCCTGATGGCTGGTTAAACCACAATTCACATCTTAATCCTTTGCTGGAGTGAAAGCTGTCATTTGGTAAGGAGGAACACAACCTTGGGTTCAGCTGTGGGCTCAGATCCGAGCTCCTGGGGCTGGTGCTGCTCCCTCAGCTTCTGCTAAAATGCATCCTGTGAGCATCAGCTGACGGAAGATCCAGCTCAGGAGGATTTAGGTGGCCAGCTTCTACCCAGCTGGGGTCCACATGCCTCAGATAAGCTGAGAATCGTGTTCCTCAGGGTAAGCCTGAGAAACGTGGCTTTTTTTCTGCGGATTTGGAATCCCTAAGGCTATGTACACAACATGGAGAGGAAATGGAGGGGGTTAAAGCCGGAGAGGATGTTTTCAGGGTGTGAGTAAATCTTGCCCATAGTTTCAAGGGAAGCAGGATTTCATGCAGGCACCATCTCTACAAAGACTGTAGCTCTGTGGCATTTTTTTTTAAAGCCATTCTATGTTGGTGCTGTTTCTATCTCTTCTTCCTCATTCAAATTCCTGCTCCATGTCCTTCCCTTTCCCTTACAGTACCAGCACTCTTCCCAAAATTAAGCAATTACCTCTCCGACAGTTTTGCTTTTGGGATCAGCACAGTGATGCTGATGTTAGTTAGTTTAGGCTGCTGTGGAACCATACCTCAAAGTATTTAGCTTTTCTGCCAGATCCCAGCTGGGGAACTCTGTTTGGCAGCAACCCACTTGGCAAATGATATTTTAAAAAAAATAATAAAAATGAGAAACTTGAAAATTACTTTAACAGCAAGAGGGCTTGCTTTTGATATTGCAGAAACGACTTTTCAAGGAAACAGCCATGTGCATAGAGTCTGCTCTCTCATTTGTAATGAATATTTCTAGGCTCTCAGGCTAGCTATTCATATGCATAACTTTCATATACAGTTATAGGGCGACCACTCTGTGCTAGCTTTTGTAGCTTCTGTTAATGCTCAGAATGAGAAAGACTTATTATACAACATCTACTTCAAGTCCAAAACACTTCTTTACTGCTATTCCTGTATTAGAGAGGACTAAGCATGAATGCTTCTTTTTTCTTAATGCAGACCTTGTGTATTTTACTCCTCTGCCAGCAATTGGCATATGTGTTTCCCCTTACTCACAGATTCCCTCTCAAAAGCGCCATTAAGTGCTGGAGCTCCTGGCAACCTTTCTGGAATATGCTCATCTTTAACAGCGTTCACAGGTGCCTTCATTGCAGAGACTTGAAGGAAAAGGGTTTTCCAGGGATATTCCATGGTGGAATTGTCTTGAGCACGTGGCGTGATTTGGCACTGTAGCAGTGGCTGTTTCATACCTTCTTTTGCATGATCAGTCATCATCGTCAGATGCAGTGAAAACTCAATTCTGTTTTTAAGCAGACTCCCTCCTGCTAAAAAAAGTAGGGGTTTTTTTAGTATTATCTGTCAGAAATATAGATAGACAATTTTCACAGAAGCCTTAGCATGAAATAGATCGATTGGCTCCTGAGTACATGATATTACTTGCATTGATTTGGCATTTGGCTGGGGCTTGACTCTGAATTTACTTCTGTTTTATCCCAACGATTTTACAGCCATTTTACATCGGTGTGCCAAGAAAGATAAGGGACCTGGCATCATGCGTGGAAGGAAGAAGGACTCACAACAGGAGAAAAAACGCGTGAGCAGAGATTTGCTGAAAAAATCAGAGGCATATCATTACCTTAAAGAGTAATGCAATAAGTGGAACTGAAGAAAGAGCTAGATGTTGGGGATACATGCTGACACACTAGAAATTCAGCGCTATGTGCTAGACCAAGGGCTCTAACAAGCACCCTGGGCGACTGCCTGGCTGTTGGACACGGAGCGCGCTCGTGCTCTCTTCCTTGCCTGTGCAGAGTTAGCTGCACAAATACTACACCTGCTCCGATGCCAGACACCCAGACGACACTCCCTTACTACTATTTATACCGATTAGCTAATGTCTAGGGTGTGAGATAAGCTGCTGCTGGTGAATTTGGCCTTATCCCGTAACAGCTCCTCTCTGTGTATTGAGATATGTCTGACAAAAAAAATAAAACTTTTGGGTGGTGGGGGATGGTGTTTCAGAATCAAACATACAGTGAACCAGCCCTCGATATTAAAAGCAAATAAAGATGCTAATCAGTTGTATATAGAAAACCAAAATAGAAAAAGTATAGAACAAACAGGAGAAACCAGGCCAAAAGGCACTTACAGGAAGGGAGCCAAGAGGGCTTTTCTTGTGCTACAGATTGTTTTTGTAGTTTTAGCAATGTTTCAGATTTGAAGGAGGCTCCTTTCAGTCTGCCAGAAGGAATAGAAGATCTATCCAAAGGAGAATTTGAGGGATTTGGTTTGGCATAGCTGAGCGTTCAAGCGGATAGCGACAAAAGAGAAGAGTGAAAGTTAAAATGCTCACCAGATACACTTTGATGTGAGGCATCTGATAGAAGTAAACCTGAGAGTATACCTTGATACAAAATTGTCACATAGGGAAATATCAAACTGTTCTGGAGGGCACAGTCAATGAAAGGCCAACGTTAACCCTCTTAGATGCTTGTTAAAAATACCCCATAGGTTAATTCATCGGCTGAAGACAAGGATGCACCACCACGGCTGATAGGGAAGGTGCTCTCCTCCAGCAGCTTCAGTTCCTACCTGCCACAGCTGCTCACTGTGGACCAGTTTATCAGGTGACAACAGTACTTGACTCAAAAATAAAGAAAGAGTTTAGCATTGTGGGTCAGAAATGCTTAAAAATCATGAGCTGGACCTTAGAGAAATAATGAAATTTTTTTCCGCATTTTCATAGCAAGTCAAACGAAAAATGAATGTCGACAGCTCACAGCAACACTTTCCATTTTCTGCCTCAGCCCAACCATTGAAGAGCTGGATATGTGCATTATTTTTAATGCACAATGGGGTGCTAAAGTCACAGCGCTGCAGATTACAGGACCCTAACAAAAAAAGGGCACCTCCAAGCACCACAGTTTGCTGGAGTTTCGTAGCCAGGAAGTCTCAGAACTGTACCCATTTCAAAATTTGGGGGAAGCCAAGGCAGAAAACACAACATACTTTCCACCACTGTCAAGACAGAGAAAATAGAAAGCCAAAAAAAGCACGTAGGCTTGGAGCCGAGGAAACACTTGTTCAGAGGAGGCAGAGGTGCTTGGTGCAGACACTGCTCCAGAGGTCTTTTCTCAGTGTGAGGAAATGGTGGGGTTTTTCCTTACCTGTTAATTTTGTAATTCCTTTCAAAATCCGCTTCAGCACCGAGAAGCCCTCCTGCTGCCTGCGTCACCGTGTCACCTCCCCTCTGCAGTTTCAAAAGGTACCTTGGAGCCACCTCCAAGTCACACCCTGGCAGCTGCCCACAGGCTCTGAACCCGAAAGCAAGCAGGTACAGCAGTGAGGAGCCTCGGATTCACCTGAGCTGCTCGTTCAGTTTAACTGAAAATTCTGGTGTAGCCATGAATCTCCTGTATAGGAAATTGGGGAGGCACAGCGA